CCACTAATAACTTTTACTTCAAACTGGACTATAACAGTGTATTGTAACACTAAAATCTCTGACACCAGAGTCCCTAATGCTGTAAATCATATATCACTAACGACATACCTCTGAAAACACTATTTAAAGAAATTTGGAGACTTCCAAGATATAAGTCACTATAGTGACTTTAATTACTCTTAGATTTTTTTATATCTACACGGAATCATTTTAATTATATAACTTACTTTCCAAATAGCTGTTCTCGCAGCATCTCCTTGCTATCGGCAAGGTGTTTCATCTGACCCAAATGTCAGCGCGATTGAAAAAAAATTCCATCTGTCGGCGTATGAGATTTACGATAAATCGACTTTTTGTTTGGGCCCGTTGTACGATTAACGGCCGTCACATTTTTTAACTCACCGTGTACAACGACTTTCTATATAGCAAAGGTTAATCGTTTTTTTCTCATTATTCACGTTATAGCCTGAAGTGTAGGCGAGGCTATTACGAAATGCATACCGTTATTAAAACGCCAGATTATTTACGTTATACATAAAAACTGATCTATAACGTTTAAATTATACACAGTGGAGTACGTTCTATTCGGTTTATTTAAGGAATGTTGTACAAAATTACTCCAGAAATTTGCAGCAAAGTTTGCAAAGCATGCTAACGGATAAAATAGTACAAATGTAAAAATTACAGAGGCTCAGATCTGCCAAATAAGGAGGATTGCTTGTTAGAAGCTTAAATTCAATAAATTAATAGTCTACAACAGTGTCCACTGTCCAAGAACAGGGCACAAAATACAAATGACTATTTTTGACATAGTGATAAGTGCTCTCTGACTATGTGTCTTGCTGTAAAATACAAATAATCCCCGATAAAATTGCCCACCCAGTATAATAGTACCCAGTGACCTTTGAATGTATCTTAATCGCACACGTATTCGAATCTGGTTCGACGTGTACAACTTTTATTTTTCCCGGTGACCTTTGTGCGTATTTTTTTGATGGTCCACTTTTCTTCCCGCACTGACAGCTCAAGGCTGGGACCGGTGGCCGTTAGGAAACCTACCGAATTAGATATTCGGCTGTTTTAAAGACTCACGGGTAGTCAGATTTTCATAAATCATGTCGAAATCTCGCCGGACTTTCGTCGTTCGAGGTGTGATGGATGGCGGTCGTCGTTTGACATAATAAACCGGGTTAAACGGTTTGATTAATTGGCTTTTCGGAAAGGCGCAATTACAGGAGACGTAGGAAAACTAAAAAATATGGATGATTAACGAAAAACTCGTTGGGGTGTCAAAAATGTCTGAAAAATGCAAATAATTTGATTACAAATGGGGTAATTAGATCACCCTGTATGATGACTTTCCAAAAAAAAAAAAAATTTGCAAACTTTATAGCTATTAGTCATACCAGTAAATCGTAGGTGACTTAAACAGTATAACGTTTTAAATCATTAGAGACTTATAGCCACTAGAAACCATTGTCTTTCAAATTAATACTGATTTGTAACTCTAAACTCACTAGTGACTTCAACTTGCAAACCTTCAATAAACTAATATTTAGTTACAACTCAATTTTTGTGTCTTTATTTGCTTCACCTCACCAGGGATTCGTATCTCAAAAGTCACTAGTCACTTTTGAGCTATAAATCATATAATCGTAGTTGACTTAAATACCATAGTGTCATAAGTCATTAAAGACTTACAGCCACTAGAAACCAATGATTCTAAAGTGAATATGTCTGTCTTTCAAGTTAATATGATTTGTAACTCACTAGTGACTTATATGAATGACATAACTTAGAAATCTTTAGTAATCTATGCATATCACTTACTTGTTTGTGTCTTTATTAACTTCATCTTATCAGGGATTCGTATCTCAAAAGTCACTAGTCACTTTTGAGCTATAAATCATATAATCGTAGTTGACTTAAATACCATAGTGTCATAAGTCATTAAAGACTTACAGCCACTAGAAACCAATGATTCTAAAGCGGATATGTCTGTCTTTCAAGTTAATAGTGATTTATAATTCTAAACTCGCTAGTGACTTATATGTAACTTAAAAATCTTTAGTAATCTGTGTCACAACTCACATTTTTGTGTCTTTGTTTGCTTCGGTTCATCTCAAAAGTCACTAGTCATTTTTGAGTTGTATTACATATCAGTGTCTTATATTTCGAAAGTGTGACTCGCAACTGAAAAGTTACTACATTTCATAAATTGGTGCCTCATATTAAATCATTAGTGACTTATAATTCGAAAGTCACTAAAAATACATATATGTGACTTGTATTCTTTATAGACCTAGCTCGTATTTCTTTTATTCGCTTCAAGTCATTAGTGACAAATATTAAAAATAATTAATGACTTCTGAGCTATAAGTCATAGGTGACTTAAACAGTATTTCGTTTTAAATAATTAGTAACTTGTACCTATGACTCAAAATAGCCATATGTTCCTTTCAAATTAATAGTAATTTGTAATTCTAAAATCACTAGTGACTTATAGGTCATAGTAACCTGTAATTTGTAGCTGGATTTGTATCTCATTGTTTGTATCTTTATTCGCTTCAACTTATTAGTGACTTATATCTCAAATGTCAGTAGTCTCTTTTGAGCTATAAGTCACAAATATAAGTCATAGATTAGCAGTGACTGGTCGCATTGATAATCAATAAATTCACCCTATATTTTATAACATATAGCCTTTGATCTGGTTTATTTTGATACCAAGAAGTCTATCCTTAAGGTTAGCAGTTATTGGGTTATGGTGATTCATTGCAGAAAGAATTACTTAAATTTTTGAAATTAAAATATTGTATAATGAAACAAATTGTAATACTAGGGCATTAACTTAAAACCTCATATTTGTGTGGTAGAGGGGACGGTTTATTACAATCAACTATACCATAAATACGATGATATTTAAGTGTTTATATGTGTTTGCTCCTTGTATTTCGATAAATCGTGGCAAAATATGCCGCAAGGTCGCCACAGTTGACTAATTAAACACTAGCGGACCCTTAGAAACGGCCACGACCTTTCCACTAAAGCGCCCTCTCTCTCACATCCTGATACGACTCAATGGTTAATAGCCGAGCGACCCAAAGGGCATTGTAATGCAACGTTATCGGCAATCTGAATATTAATATTGTTCCCACACAGGTTCGCCTTGGCCACCACTATTTTTTTTAATTTCAAACTGGAACTGTTAATAGATCATATTATTACTGCATACCGTCTACAGGGCGTCGCAGAAAAAGGGGATAGATAAATATTGGCGCAAGGTTTGGTATTGAGTCTTTTTTGTTTTTAAACGATTCAGAACTTGCAAAATAGAGCGCGTTTTTTAAAAATTCTTATAAAAGTAAATAAGATCACCCTGTATGGCAAATATATGATAGTGCAGATTAGCAGCAAAGCTTATTCACCTGCCAATTTGACGTATTTACTATTTTGCATCTAAAGAACGGGTGCCGTATGCTTTCAATTATACAAGGTGTTTCAAAAAGATCCGAACCTCTTCCAACTTTTCAGGATTAAATTTTATTAAAAAAGTTTCAAATAAAAGTTGAAGGATATCGCTTTTACAGGGTGTTCACAAAATAGGTGCAAACTTGACTCATTGCAGAGTGTCTTGTATTAACAGTGAAAAATATTTTCAAGGTATTTTTCCATAATTTTAATAGACTTCAATAAAATAGATTTTACCTGTAGAGATTAATATGACAGTTAATTCTAAAGACAAGCTCTTTTACTTGTTAAAAAAGTGCTAGATACTTAAAAAAATTGACTCGTTCTTCCAATTTCGACGAGAAATGAAAGTGAAGGCTCCTCCAATGCTAGTTAACAACATTTATAACGAACTAATCTCTCCCTAATTGAAATTAAGAATTAATTTGATTGCTTCTGACATATATATTTATTATTCCACATCAATCACGATAATAACCTGTTTGGTATTTGGAAAATAATTATTGTATAACCTAGAGAATGAAACGTCAGTTTGTGGCAATTTAAGAAAGAGGTCTCGTGAGGAATTTCGAAATTCGTTAATTTCTGCTAGACCATTAACATTTTCTAATGGAGATTATATGGTTATTTGATGAGAAATAGGCACACCTATTTTTTTTTTAACTACGGTCTGTAATGAATAAAAAGGTGTTTGAACCTTAGGTATATTTTTTCCACTGTGGCATTAATCTTTTTAAATGCATGTTTATACAGGGTGTACCTAGTTTTACTATTTGTAGTCAAGTAGTCCTACACCCAGGACTCTCTATTTTAATTTAAGTTTTTGTCATTGATAAATGTTAAGAATCGTAAGGGCCCCAAGTGAGACCCCTGAGGGACGCCGAAAGTTATAATTATTTATAATTACAAGCAACAACTATTTGAGGTGTTACTCTTACATTATAAGAAGGAAACATACAGGGTGATTCAGAACTTATCAAAAAAAAAA